TGCCATCAGACTCCCTAAGGGTATACCACCCCCCTTCACCACCAACCTATAATGAAATGCTTTATTAAAGTTCCCCTGTGAGCCATTGTCTATTGTTCCTTCGCAGTGAAATTACAGTGAACTTAAACAAACCCCAATTTGTTTTGATGTATCCATACTAAGAGTTTCAAACCCCACCAAAACCCTGCTGAAAAATCTTCAAATACAAACTCAGCTCTGCAAATATAAAGCATTCAAATCTCTGATTCTCTTAAAAGTCCTCTGATGCTCCCTAGTGGTACAAAGTGCATAGTTCAGAAAGTCATCCAGCTGACTGTTTATCTACATATCATATAACAACACTTACAACAACAGCAGCCACCACCTCTGTACTTTTAGTGAGGTCAGAAAATACCTCAACTTCAGATAATTCTGTCAAATGCTAGGGCTTAGCGTGGCAGGAAAAAAAGTGGGGAAAAGAATTACTTCTGGATACTCCAGGTTAATTTAAAGAGACATCAAATGGAATAGAAAAACCAGTGTTATTAAAATGATCTGCAGTACTGCTGCAGTTTCACACTGTGACCACAGTTGGCACTGCCAAAGCAATGGTGCGCCATATCACTACGCAGTGCAACTAGGCCTACTTCAAAGGCTAATATAAAAGAGATGGAACGACTTTTCAAGAACATCAAAGACCCAAAAGCATCATGCAGTAACAACATCAGAGAAATGGAAAAAAAAAAAAAAAAAATGAGGCGTGTTCCATAATTCAACTGAGCTTCATTTTATGCATGTAACACAAAGGTAGCCATATGGAATCACGCTACCAAACATGAAATGATTTTGCAACCCATATTGGAGGCAAAATTAAACATCACTGCACTGAAGAAGAAGTTTTACATCATATGTGAAGCTTGAGTTTGACATCATGCAGCTTGGATTTATGATTTCCGGGGTGGCCTCATGTCAAAATGGTTGTTATTTAAGTTAAACAATATATACTATTATTAGTATTACTATAAACATTCATACAGATTCAAATCTGGTGGGCGCAGGGACAGAAGCTCGGAGTCAAGTTCTGAATGTTTTAAAAGCTACTCCAATCAGATTCAATTAGGTTTACATGACATATAGCGGAGAGTGAGGAGAGCTACAGTAATTTAAAGTGAAGATAAATTTACAGTAGTAATAAAGCAATCAGTAATGTGATATTAGAAATGTGTGATCAAGTGCATCCACTGAGCTGATTAGATAATTATGAACACATGGAATAGTCAACAGATTGATCTCTCTAATGAGCATCTAGTAAATAAAATAAGTGAGTAGCTGACTACTTCTCCAAGGGCATCAGACATTTTAAATCTTGAATTGACATTCCCGTCCTCTGATGGTTTACATTCCAACAAATGTTCTGTATGTTATTTTGTGAAACTCATCTCAGTGTCGATGTGCCTCCATGCCTTTCATCAGACCTGCTTTTTCTGCCAACCAGTCTTAATAGATTCTCAAAAGGTGATGGTGTTCATTATTGCTTCTACTCACCTTCAGCTGACACTTGTGGACTCTCTTCGATGCAAAATCAACAGGACCTGTAGAGGTAAATTAAAGCTGAGGTACGTGACCGCAAGACAAATTCCATCTCAAAGGTATGGCATTGCAGGATTTCAAAATATACACATAACTAAATATAACTACCTAGGACTTCATAGGAGAAAAACACCTTTTATCTGAGGCTCAAACAATAGTGGACAAAATGAATAAAATAAAAGTAATGTGTGTACTTTATTCTGAAACAAATGTTTTTCAATGTAACAATGCATTCCTGACCTTGTAGTTATTTAGTGAAATTATCTGTAGCACACAAACCAATTTACTGTATGTTTACTGCAAAGGAAAAGCAATGTTTCTATATCTGGAAATTTCTGCACACACAGGTGTCAAAATGCAGAAACAAAGAGCTGAAATTTTCTCCAAACACAAGGATACTGTTTGAACAACAGACATCAAGTAGGGCCAGCAGGCTTTGTTTTCTTGTAATCACATAATTATTTTATGATCTCAACATAAAAAGCTTTGTTCTGAGCTTTGACATAAGCTCTGTTTTCTTCTGGACATACAATAACAATCTAGCCTTATTAGATGATCGCTAATAAAAAGTGGATCCTGATAAAGTAACCATTTATAAGCAGCAGGCGTACAGCAATTTCTACCACTTAGATTGCCATCCACTTTGACATCATATCCCAAAAATATTGTAATATGTCTACATAATAGTGTAGTTTATTGTCACCTTTAGTGACCAAAATGCACAAGTTACTGTAATGTTTCTATAATATTCCCATAATGTAGATTACTGGTTAGTGTACAATGTAATGACTTCAGATCAAACATATGACATCTGATTTCCTTTTATCTGTCTTTAATAATTCCAGTTCCACTGTATAACTGCCATTATACATGTGTACAATGGAGCATTTGGTCTTTCCATGATAAAATTCAATATTATGTACAAAATGATTTAAGACAGATAAATAAAATATGTATACACTGTTAACATATTGTACAACCAGAAAAAGCAGTAGTAGTGCAAAAAAAAAATCTCTGATTATAAGGGATATCTGTTGGTTATATTTGATCATCAGAATCTTGAAAACATTTTATCTAAACATCACATTGCTCGAAAATCAGGCTAAGTTATAATAATTAAAGGTGAGGGGTAGAAGCAGAAATAGCGACGTGCTGATCTTACTATTAACATATTTATTTGCTTTTAGTCAGATTTTTTCTGTTCTTTTGTTGACACTTTGTGAAAAATATAATGGTTATGTTTGAGTTCATTGTTCTTGAAGCTTTTAAAATGATGGTTTGAGAGTCTCAAATCCAAACTGATGTGGAAGTCAGAAGTAGCTGAGCTGGGCTGACAACACAGCTACTGCAGAGATGTAGGACAAGGGGCATATGCAGAGGAGAACAGTTTAACTTTCATTGGGAGTTTCACATGGCAATAAGACAAAAACAGGCCACTTCTTTTAATCAGTGACTCACTGAGACCTTGGAGATAATGCGTAATGGCACGTGTCTCCTATCAGTGAGATGGACAGGTTTGTTAAAGCTTCGAAGATTTACACTGAAGCTCTTATCTCGTCTCAAGCATCTCACCCACCGCACCCCCCATCTCTCACTAGCATCCCATTCATCCCAGCTAAATGGGAACAAGAACAAAGAATTTTGGGACTGCTTCTGCTCCTCTTGTTTAGTCTGCAGCCTTATATTGCTTGCACCATGTCCCAATTCAGAAATAGCTGCTTGTTATCATCCCTCTGATCTTCTGAGGACAGTTGCACAGGCTGTTGGGACTGTACTTGAGAAGTCTACAAAGAGTGTGGGTAAAAAAAAAACAAGGGCGCTAATGATCTTGGAGAGATTTAGAGAAAATGGATTGTGGATTCTGAGTCTTACACTGATGAAACTGGGTTAACTGTCTTTCAAAAAGAATTTGCTTGCTGCGATTGACAGTGTGTTGTGGTTTGGGTGGTAAGGAGGGACAAGCCTATAATTATTTGTAACCAATCTTGCCGATTGAAAATGAAAATGAACAAATATTTCCCATCAACTGTATATGACAGCCAATAACACAAGCGTAACAGGAAGGGCATTTTCAGCTTCTAATAAGCTTCGGATGGTCACAATCGTCAGCTCTAAATGTGATTTGTCAGATTCACAGGAACACAAACATAAGCTCAGTGTACTAAGAACACATTATGCGCAGTCTACTCTCTCAATGACCTTGGAACCACATGTCCCCAATGGTAAATTAAATATTAACCAAAATACAAATATTTACAGATGAGTACAATGACCCACAGAGTGACATCTATGATTCCAGGAGAGCTTTGTGATACAGGAAGAACTGACATTCATGACTCAGTGTTTATGCTTTTGCGGTGGCTAAAGGATTGTCAAAAGAAGAGATATGTCAACATGGGTAATGTTAACATAAGTAAATTCAACTAATATAATTATATAAGGATGCGTTTTTAGTAACATAAATAAATCAAACCTCTGAGGTGGTCAGGTGAAAAGGGTCTAAGGACAGAGAGTGATGAATGCTGTACAGATTGTCCCTGAGGCAAATTGTGATTTGGAGCTATATAAAAAAATAATTGTACTATGCTTTACTTGACTAGGACAAACCTCTACACATCTTTCTTCGGCAAAAAATAAATATATATATATAATATATATATATATATATATATATATATATATATAGATAGATATTTTTTTATTCTATTCTTTGTAAACAAT